AGAATGCCCAGAGGTGGCAGGATCCTACAGGAATGCTTTTGCTGTTCTAGCCCACTTCGGGATTTTTAATTTTTTTTTCCAGGACTTTTTACAACAGCACGTCCAGGACTGTTCACATCCTGACTGACCTGTGCAGGAGGAGATGCCCATGGTGGGTCCCAGACAGGACACAGCACCTCCTGGGCTGGGCTGGAGCCTCACAGATGGCACAGCAGGAGCGCACGGAGCTGTGAGCTGGCACAGGGAGAGGCTCCTGTGTGCCAGCCAGCACCGAGGGCTCACTAATCCCACCCCAGCTGACAGCTCCTTGGCCTGGCAGCACACTGACATCACTTTTTCCCACAGTTATCAGCTGCGCCGCGGTGACATCGGTGCTGTCCTGGTGTTGTTTGCAGCCCTTGGAATGCTCAGGTGACCCATCCTGGTGCTGACACCATCGCTCTGTGGTGGCTCTGAGGCTTTCCAGCACCAGGAGCTCCTTCCAGCAGGCTGGATACAGTGAGGATCACACACAGTTCACATCCAGCACGAGGAACGCAAGGACAAACCATTCACCTCCAGGAGTCGGTTGGACACTGACTCCAGGAGCCTTCCCGGATCAACACACATCTCTGAGTGGATGTTGTGAAGCATTTAGACATGTTAATGTCTAAATTAACATTAATTAAGATTTAGACGTGGCTAAACTGAATTAGTTCAGGACACCACTTTTCACTGGACTTTGCTAGAACCAAACATGCCACGTCCACCTCATCCGTGGCAGGAGGATACCAAGGGCAGTGCCAGTGCCCAGATGGGTAACACACAAATTTACTGCTACCCTCACCATAAATTTCCTTTAGAAACAGGTTTTGTTAAAAAGCTCTCAAACAACAAACGACTCAAGTCTTCCCTTTGCACCTCCTTCTGAATTGATTCCTTCTGGAAGTTTAACTGGCACTCAGATAACTTCACCCAGTCTGCTCCTCAGCTCACTCCAGGCATGACGTAACGCATCAGGCCCTCCTCAGAAACCATCTGCTCAAGTGACACTAGAAAACCCTTGTTATCTCCCAAGAAAGATAAGTCTGCAAGAAATGTATCTGGGAGAGATCCGGAGAGTAACACACTACCATGTGTTTCCACAGTACTTGTTACTCCAAGAGTAACAAGTTTCGCAGGCTGAGGCTACAGCAGCTCCTCCGAGCTGAAAAGCCTCTTCAGAAAAAGCATAAGAAAGAAAAAGGGGTGGGAGGAAGAAAGGTGAAGTGGCTCACAAAAGGCCATCGAGCCAGTCAGTGGGAGAGCTGCATTTCCAGGCTCCCAGGGCTCCTGACTCATTCCCAAGCCATGAGAGCCCAGCTGAACTCTGCATTCTTATCGAATCAAACCTCTGGAATTTCCCCAGCAGAAGTGCCATCTTAGCGATGGCTCGTGGGAGAGTCCTTAAATAGGTCAAGTTTCTTCTTTATCAAAACAAGGATGTGTTCTTTACACATCGATTACCAGAGCTCCTGGCAATTACTCAGCCCTTTCCATTCAGGAAATTCAGTGTGTTGAGAAGTACAAACACCCACAGCAGACGTTCACTGCCCTTTCCAAACAACCTCCATCCCCACCTGCCTCAAGGTGTGATGGCAGCTAGAAAATGAGCTCATTAGAGAAAGGCTTAAGGCAGGGTATGTTAATACCTGTAGATGGGGTCCATGAAAAAGGGCGATGGCTTAGCGTAGTGCAGGGATGGCTGCTGAGGCAGCTGAGACTGGGAAATCTTGGGTAAGACTTCACTTGCCAGCAGCTTCCTCTCCCCGTAGATGTGGTTTTTCCGTGGCTCTCTTCCCCCGTTCTGGCTGGCTCGGATGCGGTTGCCAATGCTCAGATCCAGTGGCTGTTCCTCCCCTGAGGTCGGGGCTGGCAGGACCTTGGGTGGGGGAAGGATTGGCTTAATCTCTTTTGGCTTGGTGGTGAGATCGAAGGGTGACTCCGAGCTGGTGCTGCCGACTTTGTGGAGGTCCCTGGGTGACTTTGGTTCTGCCTTGACCAGCAAGTTGTGATTGAGGGTTCGCTCCGTGAAAGGGTAGAGGGAATGTGGGAAGTTGGGAAGGAACTGAAAAGGGAACATGGAATGATAGGGGAGCGACCCCATCTTTTTCTCCTGCATCCCCATAAAGCCAGGCCCAAAATACTTCTCTGCGATGGAGGCGATAGCTTTAATAGAGTCATTAGCTGCCCCCGTGGTGGGCAGCAGGTGCTCCTCGGGGGGAGGAAAGAAGGAATGCTGAGAATAGAAGAGAGGGATCTCGCTCGTGGTGTTGGTGGAGCTCGCAGACACAGAGCTGCTGACAAAGTCTGGCTTGGGCTCCATTTGTTTGCTCTTGTCTTTCGTTTTGTCCCTGTCACTCTCCGCATCACTGTCCAGGTCGGAGCCGGTGCCAGTAGTGGTGTCCAGGTCTGTGCCTGTGGTTGTATTGACATCCTCAAAGTCACTGCCATCGGACATGTCACTGTTCCTGGCTTTTAGCTTCTCCAGGTAGGAGTTTTCCAGGTTGCTTTCACATTTCTCCTCCCCTGGAGGGGCCTGGGTGCTGTTGCTCACTGCAGAGATCAGCGGAAGCGCTGGGTTCCCGAGGGGGCTGGGGAGCTTCGTGTCCGGAGTGTGGTTGAGGGGACTTTTGAGCAGTTGTGTGGGGGGTAACAAGGGGGGCCTGGGGTACAGAGAGGGTGGGAAAATCCCTGGGAATCCTGGCGTGAGGGCGGGAAAGGCCGGGGGGGCA